TTGGCACAAATGATTCTCGCCACAGATACGTGAAAGTTTTGACGGGAAAACGGCCGACTCGGGGAAAAGAACAACCTGAAAAAGAACCAAAAACATCATGACTGTGTCTTGAATAACTGGAACAGCTGTCAATTCACAGCCTGGATTTCAATGCATTCACTATAATTTTGTGCTTTTCGTATCGCTACCATTCGAGAATTCCAGTGATAAACAGACCTGCGATTCTATACTGGCATATTATTGGCACTGTTGATGTTTTTTGTAAAAAGCGATAATGAGGCGAGTGCAGCTTTAGATAGATGAAAATCACAATTTATTTTGATTACCTGGCACATAACTTAGAGTTCAGAATAAGAAGCATTACTCGGAGCCGACATCTCAGTGACATTCCTATAACACACTAATTCCCCGAACTCGATTTAAGAGCCGTTAACCGAACTTATTTCCCAAACGAATAATTTATCAGTAAACTTGTGCTTTCCTGCTAGATTTAGCATTTGATTTTATCTCATCTAGGTGCCCGATTCTGGCACTTTCCGCATGGCCTTTCATCCACCCTGCCTTCCTCCCTCTCCCTTTTCCCCCGCCAGATCCCGATTACGCGGTGAATGTTGAGGGATTAGTAAAGAATGACAGCAGCTGTCCAACTATAGTGTCAAGCAGCCAATTACTGCGCTGTCGAAACAGGGACATATTTTAGGACAGCAAATGTGTTTTGTGGATTGTCTATTGTTTTGGGAAGCGTTCTCACGACCAGCAAAAATGATCCAAATGGGCAGCGGAGGAAACAGCGCCAAGCGATATTCCATGGCCCATTCAGTGTTTGTTCCACGACGATGTAGAGGTCATAAAAAGAAGCAAAGATTTCAAATTCAGCAATCAACACCTGTGTGAACATGTCGAAATTGCCGGACAGTGAATTATTCCAAAAAAGAAAACTGTGATTTTGCGAGATTATTTTATCGTCCATTTAAAGATTTGTCTACTTAAACCGAATTTAGGATTGCACCTGCGTCACGCATTAAGGCATTCGAAAATAATTGTAACGAAGTGGCGATTTCGAGGACTTGACAAGCTGGAAAGT